AATGAAAATGTAAGACTAGCGCCACTGTCAGATGTACGAGTATACCAAGTCACGAATTAATAAGTCTAACGAGACCATATCTCAGTAGAAAGTGGTTCATTGTTGACTTCATGACGTTACGTTTCTGATGGATTTTGGCTCTACGCGACAGATAATAAGTCACGATTGATTGTTCTTTACTGTTGCGGTCATATAGTCATGTCACACATATGTAAGTTACAAGCGAAAGCGAATTTAACGTCGTTGCGGCAGAAACACTAGCGTCTTCTAATGAGCAGATAGTAACGAAAGAAAATTTAATCTATTTATGTAAGAACAGTGTAAGGTTTAAAGTCTTAGAAACAATTAATGAAAATACTATGCATGTTTTATACAAACTTCTTTAACCAACAATAAAACCATAAATCTATTTTATACATCACATATCAAAACTAATAAGTGTATAATTGTTTTCGTTTCTATGTTTCGTTATCTTTAGCATTTTGCAAGATGAGATCGATGGGTATTTCAATTCTCTCATTATTTATTGTAGAAGTATTAGTCTTTGTACACAATAAAAATAAAAATAATGATAACAATTTTATTCTACTAAATGTTATACAACAATCTGGTCATTAATTTAGACACTATATCATAAAAGCCCTCCTTCAAATGTATAACATAAGCTATATTCATATATAGACCACCACTAAAATACCTTACAACATTTCATGAACATTGTTGGTGAATTAAAAAAAAAACAAGTTAATCTTGTATCACACGATACAAAGAAACTATAATAACAATTTGGTTCTAATCCAAATTGAATACAGGATGGTCCTAACTACCTTGGACTAAGTTCAATGTTACAGAAAATAACCATTTTGAATGTAAAATTTTATGCACGCCTTGAAATAATTTGATAGATTGCTTTATCAATTATTTATGCATAACAAATCTATCAATAAACTAGCTTACAATCACGATGATTGAAAAAATACAACCGGAAGAGTGGTTTATTTTTGGCGTTTTATAATAAAGTCACTTTTAGGCTGAAGCACAAAAAAAAGCCTTTTAGAACCGTAAATAGTAGCTCTGAGGATTTCTTTAAACCTTAATTTACGGAAGAAATTATAAATTGTTGCGAATCATCGAACTGTTCTAATCTAGATAAATTTACGTGTTAATGTTAATTTATGAAGTTAGCGTTTTGTCGTACTGACCACTTTGATCTGAAATATCTCCCCTTTGGTTAAGAATTCCAAATTCAAATTTATAAATTCATTTAGCTGCTGGTACATTTGAGTTTTGAAAACAGACATTTATTTATTTTTCCTCGTCATTTTTTTCTTTGGCACCGCACAATGGAAAACATGAAATATCGGCATATTTACGAGTACGAGTTGCTGGTGTCGCAAAAGAAAGCACGGTACGTTTTTGGTTTCAACGTTTTCGTTCTGGAAATTTCTATCTTCAGAACCAACCCCGTGGTCGGCCGGAGACCAAATAGGAAAATGAAGAATTAAGGGCTATTTTTGAAGCGGATCCATCGCAAAGCACTTTAGAGGTAGCTGCAGGCTTCGGGGTAAGTGATAAAACTGTATTAATCCACTTGAAGCAAATCGGGAAAGTAAAAAAACTTGAACGATGGATACTTCATGAATTGAGTGAATCGAACTTGCAAACACGCGTCGACTGCTGTGTTACTTTGCTCAACCGACACAATAATAAAGGGATTTTAAATCGAATCATTACTTATGATGAAAAGTGAATACTGTACGATAATCGGCAGCGCTCGTCGCAATGGCTGAAGACCCTTGAGACCCATCCAAATCCTGCCCTAAATGAAAATTGACTCAGAAAAACTTACTTGTGAGTGTTTGGTGGACTAGGTGACCGGTGTCGTTCACTAGAGCTTTCTTAAATCTGGCCAAACGATTACGGCAGATATCTATTGTCAGCAACTGCAAACCATGAAGGAAGAACTAGCAGCTAAACAACCGAGATTGGCCGATCGCTCTAGGCCACTGCTGCTTCACGACAATGCAAGACCAGACACTGCACATCAAATAACCAGTAAGTTAGATGAGATACAATTGGAATGTCTGCGACATCCATCGTACTCCCCGGACCTTGCTCCAACAGATTATCATTTTTTCCGGAATTTGGACAACTTCTTACAAGAAAAAAATTCAACTCCGATGGGGCAGTCCAAATTAGTAAAGGGATCCAGTTTAGTAAAGGGATCAATAAACTAGCTATGAGATGGCAAAAGTGCATAGATAACAACGGTGTATACTTAGATTAATTAAATATATTTTACAAAAAAAAAAAAGACTTTATATTCCACTCATACAAAACGCCAATTTCATATGTAAGGACCTAATATATACATATTATATATACATGTAAAAAAAAAATATGTATATATAATATATATAACGAACGAAAACGCAATGATATATATATATATATATATATATACGTATATATAAATGTACCCATTGAATTTAAATAAACAGTAAAAATTTTATGACTTTTTTTTCTAAAACTGTTCTGTTCTAGGGTTTAGTAGTTAAATTCAAGGCACTTCTTTTATTGAGCTTCGCCTGTTCGAAGTTTCCTAATTAAAATACATTGAATTACCCCCTTAGAAGTTAACAATTATTATTACTGTTGTTAGCTATTTCACTGTGGGCCTGAACTTTTAATTCCTAATTTACAATATTTAACTTCTGTATGCAATACCAACTTTGAAATACCAGCATTCATATCATACATAGTATTGCCTATCAAGGACATGTTTCTCTTGTTTATTACGTATCTTATATGTCATCACCATCATCAACAGCCCTTAGCAGTCCACTGCTCGACATATGCCTCTCCGTAGAAAGAAGTTTTGGCTTACTATACCACATATGCGAGAAGGGCGGGAGTCTTATCTTAAATATATTTATTCTCATATATTTCAAAACACTTTCTAACTTTAGAGCGTTATTACTGTCGCACTCTTAATTGAGGTCATAGAATAAAAAACTGAAATTAGCACCTATAAGTACATATTAACTCCTAACTTAGACCAAACATCGCACTGTGGGCGTATCGTCATACGCGATAATCTCAATCGTATCCGGCTAATCTATCGTCGTTATATTTTGTCCGGTGGGCGGACACCGTTGACGTAACCAATCGGTTTATACTTACATTATTTTTGTTATTAATCCCTTGAGTACTCGTTTGTAATCAGTTTTAATCTGGGAATATGGAAATAAGTCTTCACGCCTCAACGAAACGGGTTGATGGAATAATATTAAATATTACGGACCTCCCATTGGATAATGACAAGCGTTGACAGATAGCTTGTTAAGGCTAGTTGTGGATAAAATATTGATATTTGTAAATACCTATATTAGTGAGGAGATATTGCATTATTAACTATTTACTGACGGCGGTTACCATGCTCATATACAATGTCTACATATCGACAGACTGAGTAAATAAACAGAATATTCAATGTTGAAAAGCTTAAAAAATTTACATCCAAAAAATAGTCAATAACGCCGACAATCGATCTTTTCTTCGACATTTTTTTTCGAACATCGATTCATTTTTTCGACATTTCGCTTTTTTTGTCGATATATTATATGGCATTACTATGGTATATCAGATTATAGATTAAATGAAAATAATACCATAAAGTTATAACATGGAATGCGATATAAAGGTCAACTGAAAACGCATTTATTATAATCAAATCAAGCGCAACCCACAGTCAAAGTAAAGGGCGTGGTTCTATGACATTCCTTTAACTTTTAAAGGCAATAGTTTTGTTACAATAAGTTCATAGTTCAGCCATTCACTGACGCGGCAGTCTTCAATCCGGATCCTTTTGGCCTTGGACGATATTATATTGTATCGGTATTCATAGTATTGATTTCACGTTCGTTTTAAGATGAGACACTGGCGCAAATACATTATCCCGCATATATGCATAAAGCCTTTACAACCCAACAACTGTTGTCGTAAAGACTATTGTCGGAAATTTTAGGGCTCCAACGGCACGGAGGGGTCTCAATGTATTAAGAATGGTAGAATCTTAATACATTGAGACTGACCTGTCTAGGATTGCTTAACTTTATGCATAAGTATATTTTTTAATAAATATTGTGATCACAAATAAAATACAATAGTCAAAAACAATAAACGTTTATAAAGTTCTCATCTATCTCTCTTATTTAAAATTTCATATTAGCTGGTGTCTCTTATGGCTGGCGGCCAGCTGTAACAATGAATTATGATAAGGAAAACGGGTAGGGTGCGGAAACTAGGGTCAGTGGAATTAAGGTCAGTTCTAGGATGGGAAAATGGGATGGAGACTGCCAGAAGACGATAAACTGGATATTTTATAAGGCGTTTTAGACGATACGTCAGAAATCTACGTGAAAAGGTTAATCATGACAAAGCATTGGTTGTTAGGGTATAAACTTGAGAATTGAAATTATCTATACGTAAATTTTATAACATGAATAGAACCATCACATTTATCACTATTTCATCATCAACAACATCAACAGCCTTTTATAGTCTACATGCTGAACATATACACACACTCTTTGGTGTTCTTGTATATATCGACAATGTATCTTTCACTATGAACAAGGAAACAATAGGTAGTAAAAAAATAGGGCAATACGATTGCGTAAAAACTTTAATCTGCTTTACAAGATATATTTAAATAATGTCTGGCCTGTAGGTCAGATTGTATCTCATTTAAATATAGAACACTGTTATTATATGACAACATTGTTCTGAATAATATTTTCAAATTCAAACAAATTACAAACTTATAAACGGTTTTGATAACGATTTACGATTTTTCCGCACATGAAATCATTGTATGCTTGATTGTGGTAAAGCGAATTCTTTCAGTACCCTTTAGTTGTCACTTTGAAGTCGTCCCAGTTTTAGAACTTTATTTTCTTTTACATGTTTTTTCTTACCACATTATAATTTTGTTTCAGGTGATACTAGTGCGCGGTCACTACGTATCGTACCTCCCTCTGTGCAGTCGTAACGAACCGGTGTTCCTATGCATGTGCACTCCCCTTGCTATGCCCGAGACACGCGAATGTGTCGTGCATGGCGCTACCAATGTCTTTACTACTGTACACGCCATGGACATGAAGATTCTACACATTGACAGCAAGTAAGTTGAGTTCACTTTTTTTTTTTAAAGAATACACTCTCCGTCCTTGCTATTGTCATCTTTAAAAACTTGAACAGTTTCAGATATTATTATTGAATGTGAATCTAAAATGTAAAGCGTATTAAAATTATGGTTTTCCTCGTTAATAATAAATCCATTTTTTAAACCTAGTTTAGACCCAACTACAGCAAAGATTAATAAAAATCTTGGAGTTAGTAAGCCTGTCATATAAGCTTCAGGCACTAAACTGAAGACCGATTTAAACACATGTTTTATTTCTAGATAATTAAATCTATCAGTTCCGAATCAAGTGGAACCTGTTCTCGAACAATCGTATAATTTTAGTAGTTATAAGTTGTAACCTAGTAACACACATATTAAACAATGGGGCATGCATCATGATAATTATAAGTGCATTGCTTTAAAGAAGGCCTAATTGCGTCTCACTACAATAGTTTTATTTATTCCTCAAACTTGCTTGCTACTACATACATATACGCCTTCACGCACTAAACACTAAATGACAATATCATTGAATTAACTTTCTAAGACACCATTTTCGCTTTATAATGTAAACCTATCTGCAACACGACATCATACTTTGACTTTAGATAACAGGCTCAGAGTTATCTCTTTAACCTACTAAGCTTATACTCCCACGCGCAAAAACACATATACAAATTTTCCACCTATAAAATCAAAATGAAGGTATCATATCTACTAATATATTTTCCTTGGATACTAAAATTTGCTGCTAACTCATTAGTTGTTATAGTAATGGTACGATAGATGCATAAAATCGATACTAGAGATACTAGCCGAAAACAGAAATAGCACGTTAAAATTACAACCCAGACACTGAACAAATGATCGCGCTCATCATACGTATATATCCTTGGTGGAAATCGAAATCATGACATCTGACTGGCAGTCAGGAAGGCTAACGACTAGGGCATGACGAAAGTATTATTCATAAAAAATGAATAGGAACTTGGGCCCTGACGAAAGACTTTTACAATGAGCACTCTGCTAACGCTTTCGCCTCACAGCGTCCGAGCGTTTACTTAATCGCATTTTAGATGAGTTTAATAATGAAATTCTTACTGGATTTGTATAATAATTAACTGAAAAAGCTACGGGAATAAATCAATTTTATTGAAGGGACAGTGATTCGTGTAGTGAGTGGAGAAATAGTTCGAACTCAGAGTAAAAGTTTTTAGAAGTTGCGCTACCAATGTCTGAAACTTGACTTGACCACTTGTTATAGTTTTTAGGGAGGGCCTAGGATGAAATTGTATTTGAAATATCATAGGGGTTTGATTTCTTTCATCTTAAGAAGCTATAAACTTTGAAAATATCCATCACAAATCTTGAAACTAGATCACCATTACTAAAACAAGCATCACATAATTCTCACTGATGCAAGTCAGTGTAAACAATAAACAATAGGTACTATACATAACTGTCACACAGCGCTACTGTCCATCACGAGAGACAGATGCATGACAACATCTCTATTGAAAATCTTCATATTCATGCGTGTCGTCACTCGCACAGGCGACTCAATGGCACGAAATAATAAGACGAGACCGATAATATGCAATAGTAAAGAGGTCTCAGGTGAGTACAAATAATCTGACATTTGCAGCAGTCTGGTTGCAATGCATGACTGTAAACAATACTACTCTTTTTTGTACATAACAATGATTTTCGACGACTTTGAAAAATGCTATCAATTGACCCACCTCTGCAATGATGATTATTTTAACAAGAGTCAATATTTCTCTTATGATATTGATTGGGTACTTAAAAACTTATCAAAATTATAACAGTGGTAATAGAAATTGCCGCCTTAAAGGTTTTTAATCCATTTTTCAAAAAACCGCTATTGCATAACATTTTCATTTAGGTAACAGCACTGATAAGTGTGATAGTTGAAACTATTTCTACTACTTTATACAACTACTGAGCGTTCCACGACTCTTATGAAGATCACGAAGGCGATCACGATAGTTTAAGCTAATAGCTCAAATTTATTAAAACCTATTTTTAGTTAGAAGCAATCTGTAAAAGTAAAGAAATGAAAGACTAATTTATAAAGTGTCAGGTCCTAAAAATGTCTTTTAAAAAGGACTAGAGATAACTAACGTTATTTAAACAAACGAAGTCATTATATAACGCTCAATGTTCTCTTTATTAATAGTAAGTATGGTAGGTACTATAACATATTCTACGTTCTGTTTAGCTCTACATACTAATAAGCTCTGGAGTCTGGTCGAACAACTACTTTTACATAAAATATTGACTTAATTTATACTCGGCACACGAATATTGTACCATTGGCTAGTAAGTTACTTTCTAATGTATTGTGTGTAAAGACTGATTATCATATTTGAATCTTAGATAAATATAATGAAATTATAGAGACATTCAGCTCTTTACTTAACACAACGAGTTAAGTTTTTCGTTAGAAATTTATATATTAGATATTTATAAATATCACTGAACTTAGTTTTATTTCAAATATAATAATGCTAGCCTTACTACAAAGCATTAAATATTTAAATATGTTAGATTTTGTAAACGTATAGGTACGATAAATGACAGAGATTGTAATAGATAAACATATACTTATTAAGTAGAAAGAAAGAGGCGAAAAATGGTGATGACCCATTGGATAACGAATAGATTACCGCGAAGATAACTCATTTTCCAGAGAGCCCATCCCGAGGTCATCTGGTGCATATATGAGAACCTAATCTTTAAGAATATAATAATCAGCCAATTAATTTGATGATTAGACCTTTTCACAACCTTCATACTAACGCCAGATTTATTCAACACTGTTTCAAATGCACTATATTTCCGTGATATCTGTCTAAGTGTTGAAATGTAAACATAAACCGTCACCTGCTTGGAGTCAGAGGAACTTTGCATACAATGACAGCGTTACAAGCTTCTGTGAAACGTCGTATAGATTGTATTAGAGCGCGGTGCGGGGAGCTCAGACCTTTGATACCTTATGCAATTCATCACCCGGTAAGTAGTTACTTAAATAATACGCAGTGATCACTTGAATGTTAAGAGAATTTTTAAAAAAGATTATTATACGAAAAGCAAAAAAAACTTTTAAGGCACTGCTTTCTCAACATTACTTACATTTATTGGTCTAGAAAAAAATATTACTTGTACCTTCAGATCAGATATTAGACCTGTAGACTTTGAGACCTATTTTTATTAGCAATAATAACTTACCTACGGTTTCTTTTTTGCATCCAACATATTTTTTCTTCCTGTACCTAAGTCGTACTGATAGTTTTAATGCAGTATTTATGACTCGTACAACATAATCAGTGTATCGACGATTTACACGACATAAATGCGCGATGACACGTAATTAACGAAGTGACAGGATTATAAACTCGTACACAAGTCTCATAAACTAAAGTATAATTTAATGACATATGTAGAGGGAATCACGTTCCTGAATGCATTACAAAATATCTATACATCAATATATAATATATACATATTGCTGTGAGATATTAAATGTTTACAGCTTCGTTATTATAATAACAATAATGAAAATTATAAATTATATTAATAGTACCTAAAAACCGAACGGTTGATGATCGAATACTAATTTGATCTGGTGTCCTTTATCGATTTTCACCAATCACTTAGAGCCACTGATTCTAATGATTTTCAGATTTAGAGGACACGGTAAATAAAAAAGTAAGAAAATGAGGCTATCTGTATTTTATAATCTAAATTGTTATGTGTAGTTTTTTGTTAAATGTGCATTAGCTACACCTTTTTAAGCGTAACCCCTGTGAATAGTTAAGCAGTTCGTGATTTTAGTCAATTCGATTTGACATACAACTACGCAGCATCGTATGCTTTAAATTATACACGAAAATTGTTGAAAGTACTCACCCACGACGCGATGCATTAAAATAATTTTACGTCACACGTCACAGGCCATTAACAAAATGTCTAATTATTTAATTTTGTACAACAACATTTACATATTCACACATAAAGGTTGATTTGCATCTGTTAGTAGTAAACATTATTGTGCTGTCTTTAGACACATTATGTATATTTCTATGAGTTGGTTAGCGACGTAAATATCTTGAGTTAGTTACAATGATATTCTGAATTGCGTTTATTAAACATTGCTTAACATTTCAATGTAGGCACATCTTATTCTTTATATTATGTGAAACTTAGCAAATGGGACAAGTTAATTGTATTTGTAGATTCGCTTTTGTAATTTAATTGTGGTGGTACTATTTTAATACAATATTGTCTCCTACTAAAAATCTGATACCGGTCTTGGTATTTGCTTAGGTAACTTTCCGTTTTCCTCAACATATAGAAAATATGGACTAAGGCATCCATTAACTTTAGTTCGATTCGGTTTTTTTTACTATATATTTCTAAGGTTAACAAACGTGGCATATAAAAAATATGGGTGGGTGCGAGGTGGGGAGGACAACGAGAAATTCACAATAATCTACTGGTTATAAAAATATATGTATATTAAAAAGGGGCGTATCAATAATTAGTATGTTGCCGAATAAATAGTGAGACATTAATTTCGCATCATGACTTAACAAAACGGACATTTTCTGACCTAAGTTAGGCGAACAAACTTAATAACGAAGGTGTAAACAAATCATATTTTACAGTCACGCGTCACACACATACATAGATATTATATATATCGTGTGTGATAGTGTGTGTGTGATGCATACGTGAACGTGATTCCCTCTATATATATTGTGATTTAAAATGTTAATTTAGTTTATGAGACTTATGAATGAGTTTATAACCCTGTTAGGTCGTTAATAAAGTATCATCATGCATATGTACACAGACACGGTAAGATGTTCATAGACGCGATTCTCTTGAAATATCTTATAGGTAGTTTACTTTACGAGACTTTTCTACTAAGTACTTGTCATCCTGCATTTTATGTCTTGTAAATCAACTATACAGTGATTACTAAGTTTCATAATATACCGTACCATATTACCCAAGGAGGATACTGTACTATTTTTTTTATGGTGTATAGTACAAACAAGTAGATAGGTCACCCGATGGTGACTCGCACCTGAACCCCCTTTCGTCCCATATTACGGTATTCATGGAGGGGTCTTTCAATCTTTTTGTGTAATCACATCAACAGCCTTTAATAGTCCACTGCTGGACATAGGCCTCTCCTTAGAAAGAAGGTTTTGGCCTACTATACTACGCTAGCCAGGCGGGTTGTATAGGGTTTGTGTCAAGTTTTCCGTCTTTTTGCAGTGCTGGTGTCCTGTGTTGTTTTGCGCCCTTAGTCGGTTCTTACGACACCCACGGGATGAATTGGGGTAGTGACATTCGTCGTTTGTGTAATGCAACGGTCCTTAACGTTCATTACAGTTCAATCAGTTACAATTATAAACAAAAAGGTTTGACTTCTTGATGACTGTTTTTTGAATGAAGGATTTTGCCAGTTGTTCATTTAATAAAGGATTATGTTCGTGAATATATACATATTGAAGTCGATATTTATTAAGTTGATATTCTTCTATCACCAATTAGCGACTATCGTTAAGATACTTTTTTTTCTTTTTTTAATTAAATTCGAAGACCTAACAAAATCGTTCTTAAGAGCGCTTTAAGTTAACTTGAAAACGTTTATAGTTGTATAGACTCTCTTCCTTCTGTTTTTGAATATTCAATAATATAAAAAGTATCCAATATTTAAAAGAAATTAAATAATAATTAATTTTTTAAAGATAATGCAAATATTATACATAATCTGACCTTATAGCATCACACTTGGTAACTCATAACTTTTTTTAAATGTCACGAGCGTTGTCTATTAATTTTGTTATTTTATTGTGTCTAAGAGTCATGGAAATAACTGCCTTACGTTTTAGACACAAGGCCTAAAATCTTTACATTAATATTTTATTTGGTCTTTGTTTGCCGTCAAGTAGGTACTTCAGCTTAAGAGTTTTCTTTTTAAAGTAGGTCATTGACAACTTACTAGTTGATGTATTATTAACTTATTACATTTATCTAAATATAAAAATTGCCTCTGTCATTCTAAACGTTGACTGTAGATATATTTTGATACGAGATGGTGCCCGATAATAACATAATTAGCTATTTAGTAGTTCACAATTCCATTAAAAGATATGTTAAGACATTTCATTCTCATTTCAAATTGCAGTAGGAACTATTTGTTTAACAATGATCAAATCTGTTGGTGAATGTATTTAATGTTTATTTATGTGTATTTAATGTTGGGATTAACAGCAGAGAAACTAGTGAATGCAGTTACAGAACCTTATTTGTAGTCTGTGGGCCTAGTGTAAGTTTATTTCACATCGACTCGCTCTCGACGGCAAGCGCGTTTAGCGTTGCGATTGGTGGAGATTTCAGTGCGGGCCAATCGCAGCGCCGAACGCGGTCACCGTGACGATCGAGTAGATGTGAAATAAACTCGCACTTGGCCCTCTGATTATTGAATTGGGAAAACTTCTCACGACGCAGGACGAGTATTATATGCTGTCAGTGCTGTAAAAGTGCCGAACATGAAACCTATAAACAAAATACAGCACCCTATTTATATGTAAACACTATAACTTTACAAAAATAATTTTGTATGTGTTCCCATACGAATGGAGACTTTTAGATATAAATAATGATAAATTGAATCACATTGAAGTGAAAATTTTTTTTTTACTCAATAACAAGGTGGTGCTAAATATAATTTTTTTATTTAATGAAGTTTATTGCTAATTCTATAAGTCTATGGATTAAATTAGTGACGCAATACATTAGAAAGGTTAAAATTAACTAACAAACGATTGATAGATTAAAAGTAAAACTAATATGAACTTGACACAACACAATCTGTTCAGGTCATCGCAACTATCAATCACAGTAACCTTGAACAGCACAATAGTGGGTTCGATTCCGTTCCATAATGTTTGCATAATCACTAGCCTTATTTCATATTAATTATTCCTTTTGTTAGTTCGTTATGTTACGAATAAAATTGTTCATAATGTTATTTATGTACCGATCATTCACTTTTCGAAATAACTTAAAGATTTCTGTTTTATTGTCTGTGCTTAGAAACCTAAATTAACTTTAACCTGTTTTTCTTTAAATTGTAGATACTAATAGCAACAGAAAGCTCACATTCTGTGCAGTGATATTATCCTTCAAAAGTTATGTTTTGTTCTCTACAAACACACGCATCTTCATCACACATTTGACATTGACAGAAACAGTTTGCCATGCACAAAAAATCATGCCGGGCAATAATCATTTGACAGTCCTATTGGTCTAGTGGTTAGTCACCCGGACAGAAGTCCACCCAGGACAAATAATTTGTGCACGATCATTTGTTCTTTGTCTAGGTGTAATTTTTCTAGGAAATGCATGTATTTAGAAATATTTAAGTATGTTTATCAGCAGTTTGGTTACCATAGCACAGGCGCTGCCTAGTTTGGGATCAGACTGCCGTGCGTGAGATGTGTTAAGTTATTATTATTATTTTAAATATTTGGTATGTTTTTTAAATTATGAATTGTATTTTAGAGACTCTGTAGAAAGACATCTATAGTAATATGTTACATATCTTAAAAATAAGTTGAAGGTCTCATCATCATTCTCAAAGAAGTAGAGTTCAATTATCCTTTCCCACCCAATGTTATACCGAACTGTTACTAAATTTAGATGAAGTAGTCGTTCATAAATCAGTAAAGATGTTTCTTTGCTTGATTTTCTTTACTTATGAATCGAGGTTAAATTTTACTCGAAAATCAGATTTACACTTTTTATTTAGTTTATTTTAAAGGTAAAAGATCTAATGAACATTGTTTTTGTATGTTTAGTAGCGAATGGCATCTGGGGTGGGAGCGGAGCTCACTACATGGTGTCAGCTGGTACCATCTACTTCATCCCGACTGTTGCAAGGAGGCGCAAAGCAAGCATCGACTAAGTGAGTACTCAACTACAATATTTATCAAATAGAATTATGAGAACGATAAGCACAACAGATATGAGAATAAACGGAACATGCAAAACGGCTTTTTTTTTATTGTACCACATTCACACAACGCCACCTAGTCCCAAACTAAGCAGAGCTGGTACAACTGATATAAATAAATATATACTTTTTTTTTGTAAATACATACATATTATACCTAGAAACACCCAGACCAAATCAAACATTAAATGTTCATGCACACAAATGTTTGACTTGAGCGGGAATAGAACCCCCGACCTTTGGAATAGCAGTCCTTTGCACAAACCACTACGCCATCCAGTCGTCATTCATTCATGATCTCGCCAGGGTTGAAAGATTATTTTTGACAATTTTAATATAATTATCAAACAGGCGTTCATGGGCGTTGTTGTAGTTACTTTCACTTTGCTTGCCCATGTCAATAAAATAGATTGTTGTTAATATATTTAGCCATACATAAATACAACAATGGTTTTGAAAAATAGAAGAATAAAAGAAAAATGACAACACTTGGAGATCTCTAAATAGAGAATGAAATAGAAGTATATAATAATTATTCTATTATTTTGACACAGTTACTTTTTCCTAATAAATCGAGTCCACTTTATAGTTTGCTACTGAGGAAGCTAGTTTTCACTTTTTATGTAAAATTGAGAAAAAAAATTATTTGAATTCAAAAGAAGAGAAGTAAACTATTCAGGAATCGGAATGATAGCCGTAATAATGTATCCACAAATCAAAAAGAATACATTTAAACAAAATTGTACAGGCTTACCACTTACAATTAGTTTACAAACGTTTAAAAACGATACTTAGATATAATCAAATAGATAAAACCAAATAGTTTAAAAACGTTATTGTATACACTTAGCAAAATTTGTTACAAACCATACTTTAAAATACTGAGAGTTTCTTTAAAAGCAATAGGATTATCTATGTACGAGTAATAGTCAAATAACCACAATTAAGTAATCTTATTTATTTATAGGCAATGCCGAGTATACTTTGTAAAAAGTTCATAATTCACTGAAGATTAAATGACATATTTTTTGACATAAATATTCGATTTAATCGGTCACGTAAAGGCCGCCTTCACTTCACACACGTCGCGTGTCGTCACATCGCGTCGCGTCAACTCGACTTTCTCTAACCGTATTGTTGACTTAGATAAGTTCGCGTTAAACGCTTTTGTATTGTCATAGGTTATCAAGGAATCGCCAGCGATGTAATGGTAGATTATCTTTTGCAACATGGCTTAAGCAAGTGTGGTCTACTTGTCGTAGTTTTGCCATATTAATGTTTTAATACTACGGAAGTTTGTCCGCACCTGACAACGGTTGGTCGTACGGTATGGTTACGCGTGATTGATAAAAAATTAATAGACTAATCTAGAACCCTAGAAGCTACTGAAACTGCCGATCAAATTTGAGTTGCATAACATTGAGTGTAAATACACGCATATCTTTAGGTTACAAAGATTATTAATGACTACGATTTACATTCATATCATTATGTCATTCGTTAAATGGTGCGTAGGCAGAGCTCTGAATACAAGTCGCAAATCAAATTCACTTGAGCCAAACACATGGACCAGGAATAAGTGCATAGACATTTTGCCGACCTACAATCCCAGCCCCGGCAGTCGTCAATCTCTCTAAAACCAACAGTCTAGATTGCACAAATGATCGCCTGGCATTAACCCTCATTACTCTTCAGCAAAGCTACAATCATAGTTCGAAATAGAAAATTATTTACCTGTCACTTTGAGATAAGATGTATATTCGACTGACAGAATCGACTAACTAAGGTTGTCAAATTGGAATCGTACTTGGCAATGCATCGTAGTCGAGTCATCATTCGAGTGATTCGATAATCGGTAATGACAAGGACGGGTTTATGCCTGTGTGCGGTGACCTTTGGAAATTGTATTCGATTTGATTTGACTACTTTGATTATTGCATTATTACTTTTTGTTATCGATGCTTGATGTTGAAGATAGAAACATAGAGTCATTCTAAACAATTTTACCATAAATAGCAATGTAGTGGCATATACTTATGTACTCTTAATAGTTTTTTCTTTCAAGCATTAAACTTTGAATCTACCATACTCCATCACATAAAATATAATTTTTGTATGAAAATACTGTGACAGAATAATATCAAAGAATATCATCATTATATCATATAATAATATTTGTTGGTCATATATCTGTCTGCCTGTAATATTATAATTATTGTTTAAGATAAAATATTAAATTCGAGACGAAACAACCTGTATGTATTGTACATGTTTAAAGAAATTATTATTATTTATTACAATTATTGTCGTATCAATTTCACTTCAAACCGTTATCACAACTGTCAATTACTTACTAAACACATACTATAAATTACCTACATTTATACTGTAAAATCCAAGAATATAAATTTAATTGTCATTGTCCACTTCTACGATGCCTCGTAAATATTATGTAATATATCCCATCTTCAAACGCAGACAAACACAACCTTCCATATCAGCGTTTAGCATTGTGAACTCTCAGCGGGAGATGCAAATTAAATATAATGGCGTATAAAATACCGAGATTTAATTACATCGTCTTCACCACAATTCTCTTTAAATTATTATTCTACAAAACCAATAAAATAATTTTAATGAAGCATGTTTAAACACTGTTAATTTAGACAAATAAACATTTAAATTTAGTAGAATAGCATAGGCCAGTTGATGTCCCTGTCCTAGTCGTTTCTTCAATCATAGGGCATTCAACCCCCACCTCTTCGAGATACTGTAGTCTGGTCCCATTTCTCATACGACACTCGAGGGAGAGCCATGCTGAGAGCATGCACATATGATGCGGTTCTATGGAGTGATACCGTGGGCTCACAGAAAAGAGATAAAAACATATGCGGAAACACTATACAATAACACGCCAATCCCGGCAAAGAAAATCTTCTTCTTCAACTTCTTCAAGGAGTCACAAGGGCTTACTCAACTTTCCGAAATATACTTTTGCAGTCTCATCTACCCAACCTCAGAATTCATTTTAAATCTCTTGTAAAGTAAAATGTCTTATAATACTTATTGTTTTTACTTATGACAACAAACTTTAATAGTTTATACACTAGTAGATGTTAAAATTAAATTATTATTCCCTTTCGGAGCTTTTCTTCATTTTAATCATTAAGAGATTATTGTTTTGTGGTATTTTTGTTTTGTATTTGGTTTTATTTTGACATTACATTTGGAAGGGGTTATATATCTGAGTTACTAACTTATTACAGAGTTTGGACTTAGGATAAGGCTTTTTTATGACATAGGGGGCAACAGAGCAGACGAGTCACCTGATGGTCTGTGACTATTTTATTAACATTTTTTTATGAAACTTTTGAGTTGCAGGTGTCCATGGGCGACGGTAGTTGCTTACCATCAGGTGAGCCGTCTACTCGTTTGCCCCTTATACCATAAAAAAAATTTCCTCGGGAACAAAACCAAATAAAAGAAAACTTTCTTTTGGCGTTTTCTGTAATCCTGAAAAAAAAATTTGATCGGTTGAGGAACATAAGAGGGGAGAAATATTAACAAACAAACTAACATTCATATTTAAATTATTAGTTAGACTATATGTTTACAATACTGCTCTCATTTTCCTTTAAGTCATTCCTCATTTAAAAGTCAAATTGAATTATTTAAACAAAGTTCAAATTAATTTAATTTAGATAATCTTGCGAGATACGAATACTCATTAGAATTCTGTATCATAATACACTATGGATTTATTACTTATTGCAATCAGATATATATGTCTGCCTATTAATTGTCAGAGAGCGACCAGTTACTGTCGTTTCGAATACTTCATTAACATAATAATTCTTTGAAATTGTTGCACGCTAAAGCCGGTGATGATGTCTAATCGTTGTAAGCCAAGCATTAATTCCTGTTGCAATATTCCAGTGTTACAGGATTGGAACCTCATAGGTTTGGGACTTATAGATTGTTGATGACTGAGATTCTTAATCCATCACCACATGGAATATTTGTTGAAACTTTCGACGTTAACTTCGACGTTGAAACAAATAACAATAAGAGATAATCAAATATCCCATAATTGCTAAAAATCAGAAAAACTTTAAATGTTTACACATTTAAAGTTTTTCTGATTTTTCTGAGTTTAATAAAACAAAAGAATAAATCAGTTGCAATCCAATGCAATCACATGTAATTTACGTTTAAGTAAAATACCTAATAGCTAGAAGTCTTCATCTTCATTTTGTGGTTAAAAGCTTTAGTGATCATAGATTTTAAAGTTCCCTACAACTTAAACTATTAGCATCTAAAACGGATCTTATGTAGGCAGGCTATGAAATATCGAGATCGCAATATTAATTGTTATTATCTATTAATATGTACATTTTGATGAATGAATGGAACAACACCGTAAAGTATCCTCTGATCTGCTAACCGGACCTTAAGTCAGTAAATCAATTAGGTAGGTATAAATAAAGAGTGTCTCAGTAATAGTGCACTTTTTAAATTTAGTTTTTTCTTATTCCGTGCAAGTGGCAACTCTGAAGTTTAACAGCTGTCACCTTTGTTTATTTCGATTAATAAAAATGGAGCGCTTTTCGAAAGAACAACGCATTATAATTGTGAAAACTTATTACAAGAATAGGCAAAATTAATTTTCTGTCTAGATTCGAAAAGTGTCAAACATTCGAAAAGTGGTCAAAATTTTTTTTTCAAACTTGGTCGATTATGGATATTTAGCCTAAGACCTTAGCGTCAACGTACCGGTCGGTCTCTTGAAGATATACAACGAGCAAATGTCTGGTGCGGATTTTGGTCATGCGGTGTGATTAGGCCTTACTTTTTTGAAGATGAGGCGAAATTGCAGTGACTCTTACTGAAACAGCCTTTAAATTGAGGACGTTTAATAAATGGTTCTACAATACATCATTTCTCAAGTTTTGACTAGAACAGTTAGATTTTAATACAAATAACACATAAATCCCTAAATAACCTCAAAGGCACCAAAATAGAAAAATCGATTAGCGAAAAAAAAAAAGATTTATTTTCTTATATCAAACAAATCCTTTTACTCGTAAATATCCAGTTATCTCTTAAAATATGTTACCTGTACTGGAACAGATAGTTTTCCATAACAAAAGTTACAGTATAATTATTAAAAGAAATAGACATATTATTCGTAACAATTCATAAAAGTTGGAGTAACACGAGATCACACATAGATTTTTTTCAATAATTTGAAAATGATCTCATTGATATCACAATAACAGACTGTGTTCCATAAAACAGGTTAAATATTACACATACACGCACACATAGTGGGGTACTTTGTAAAAACAATATACGAGTATGCGCCAGGTTAACTTAAAATACTAGCTTAGATGAAGATATCTACCTGCACCGACCTTTATCAATCTAATCGTGAATTCTATTCCCAACCAGGACAAATAATTGTGTGATGAGCACCATTATTTGTTCTGTGTCAGGATGTAATTTACCTATAATATGTATAAATTTAGAAATATATAAGTACGTGTATTACAGACTGGTTACCATTAGTACTACAGGTTCTAGTTTGGGATCAGACTGCCACGAGTGAGATGGGTCAAGTTATTATTATTAATATACGAGCACAGAGTGAATAGAAAATCAACAATTTGCGGATAATACATGTTTTAAAATACTGAAACTAAAGTTATTACCATAGTTAATATTCTTGGTTCCCTTTCGTAGGAATCATTCAGAGTATCATTTGTATCGATACTCAAAGACCTACCGCATGCCCTACCTTCATAATTGACGTAAACAGTTACAAACGCTTTGAAAGCAAACTAAAACGTATGTATTTATTTACATACCTATTTAAAATGAATGTATTCAAATTACAAAATCACTATTTGCCTCTTTTGAAACTATAAAGAGTGAACGACTATTAAAAACCAATAAGTAATCATTGAATCGATTAAATCGTTTAGATGATAATTATGAATAACTTCATGCGAGAAAGCTCTACAAACACAATAAAATCAACTATAAATAAATAAAACTAACAAGCGATGCTCGCATTAGCATCGTTAGTATCGATAAACACAACAAACTGATTGCGTAAACATCGGTAATACGAATCGAAACTCAAAACTTATCTTTGGTATGATCGACAAACAAACTCGGGCCATTTATGACGATTCATCGGAAGAAGAACTGTTACCTTATACGGAAATGGGACTCACGCCGGTATGATCGCCCTCTCCATTCCTGGCACATGTAAATTACTATTATAACATCATTGTCAAACTCAAACACCTTGTATAATCTTAAAACCTATGTTGACGATTTTAAGCTCTATTCTATTGTGTTAGAGTTTAATTTACACAAACAAGTTTTGTATTTAAAACCTTAGGTATATCAAAGAGTTAATGCATATAAGGTACCTCAATAATCTTTAAATTAACATCGTTCTAATTTCGGTTCTATTCAATTACGACAATTCACACTGGGATTAGCGCCCAGTTTGTTATATCATTTTAACAATAGATTTTTTGTTTATATTCCGTAATAATAATTTGAAGATGTTATTTAGAGGTTGTATGTATAAAAACTGTTTGATAAAAACATAACAGGTATCAATTTACAGATGTGATATCAATAAAAAAGTTGTATGAGTAAGAAATTCATTCAATATTCTTGAAACGGAACATATGAGAAGAAGAAATCATTATTATTGTTCGAGTTTACTTAGAATATTTCTAAGTGATGCTCAGGGCATCAATACGTCATTACCCTTCTGAAAGTAAGCGCTTAGTGTCACCCGTGTTATCTGTTACTTCTAAGTCATTGCTAAGGTGGAAATAATTATATAAAAACAGACATTTCTATTCGTTAATTTTGAACTTAGATGAATAGACTTTACGCTCGACAAAAGTAAATAGGTACGTAGTGCATTAAGTGCATTTAGTTACAGATTTTTTATTATTAAACTCTTATGTTATAGAAAGACTGATAGTTGTAGTTTAAACGGCAAAAATCAATATTTGACTGCCTAGTGGTACAGTGGTAGCGTATGCGACTGCTGTGCTGAGGTCTCGCGTTCGATTCCCAGGTCGGCCCAAATGTTTGTATGATCTGCAAGTGTTTGTTTCGGAGTTTGGGTGTTTTCTAAGTATAATATGTATGTATTTACAAAAAAAAGTATCTATAAGTATTTATATCAGTCAATCTAGTTTTCATAGTACAAGCTCTGCTTAGTTTGAAACTAGATGACGTTGTGTATAAAATGTCTGAAATATTATTATATTATAAACACAGCTTACTGGGCTTAGACACTCTAATATTTGGTAATTTTAAGTTACGACTTCAACTTAAAAAATCATAAGCTCTATGAGCTTACGATAATTGTCAACATTTACCCAATGACAACAAACACCAATGACTAATAATTGCAATGAGAGTCATTATAAAGACACTTACATCGTACATAAGATAGCAGCCGAAATAGTTTGAAGTTCTTACAAGAAATTCCTTTAAAAAATACTGCTAGCTGTGTGCGGTCCCACAAGGCCTTTTACAATCATATACTTGTTTTTTCTATAGGTAAGTACCTAACTCTGTAAACTATCCTAAAGATATTGATAGTGAAACACTTGTTCACCACGGGACCTTTTTTTTTTTTTTTTTTTTTTTTTTTTTTTTCCGTGCGGAAATCCCCTCGGATACCACCTGTCGGTAGCATGTCGGACTCGAACCGACTAAAACCGCACGCCTTCGCCGGGTACTAATAGCCGGGGAACCAGGTATACCCTAGAAAGGAAGGCCCTGGTGCCCCGACATACCTTGGGTCATCTACAGACGAGTAGACGACCCCCGCCCCTCACCACGGGACCTAAACATATCTTAGTCTTTTTATTCTTGTTCTTTATTTATGCATCTCGTGCCCTTGAAAGTGTTTGTTAGATAAAGAATGATTTTAAATATTTAACCTTAAATAAGTACGCTTAGCTTCCTTAGTAAAATGCGCTTTGAAATCTAACTTATTTCCTGTATTTCTGACGGGACTGTCAGTAGATTTGATTGATTAGACAATTGATGGCTGCATATACAAATACTTCAATTACTATTTAGGCTCGAGAACTGATATTGTTGAAATGGCTCCATATGTAATATTTGTTTTTTTTTCTTTTAAATGTGAAAATGGCTATATTTGAATGACTGCTTGTAGCTGACATGTAACGTTGATTGATAAGGTTCACCAAGTTGATTCTTTTGTTTCATTTAATATTTTTTTCTAAACTGTGGGAACTGTTTTCGTAAAAAGAGACGAAAGTGTGTGAACTGGGAGCCAAGAAAGGCACCTCATTCCTCATGCATGATAATTGAGATGAGACATCGTATGCCACTACTGTAAAGCGCGTTCATTTTCAATATTTTTTTTCTATTACTACTAATACAATTGCCCAGAAAGACAATGTATGGTCTTTCAGTTTCCTGAGCAAGCAATGGCAATAATAAACACACAGTTTTATACATTGACTAAAAAGAACAATAAAATACGGTTACGTGTTTATGTTGCGCCACACAGTGTGTAGTATTTTAGTACAACAAAGTTCATTAGGCAGTTTGTAATCGTATTAGCTATTCTGAAATAAAGAGATATCTTTTTCAACAGTAACCCAGTCAGAACAAGAACGTTCCTGCATCGCGTTATTGCGACTGCAGCGACGCTCGGGCCAGTTTCTTTGGGTACATGCCGTGCTGCAGCTGAAGGACAACCTGGAGAACTCACAACGACCTGTCATCGTATGCACTAACCAAGTATTAAGGTAAGGAGATCTTTAAGATACTTACAAACCCTAGTAAACATTTAATTCCTCGAGTTAGACGAAGACACTAATCAGGCAATAGGCAGTGAGGGTGACGGAATTTTTTTATTTTGAAACAAGCAATTCGTTAAACTTGAGTTGAAAAAATACCCTCAAACAAGGAAGATCCCCTAAACACTTTGAACATAAAAGAACATTTTCTCAAGAAATGGAAAATAACAGGTAGTGGACTTTCCATCAGGTGACCCGTCTGCTCGTTTGTCCCCTATTCCATAAAAAAAAGTACACTAACAAGTCTAATTAAAAGACAATAACACTTACAATTATAATAGTTAATTTTAATTATTATATGTATATTTAAAAGCAAAATATTCATAAAAGTAGAACTTTAATTAAATGATACGCATGCGTCAAATTGGTTATTATTCATAAGAGCCGTAGGCGCTTTCAAAATTTTTGATTGGAATAATTATCTTGTAGCACGTGCCACATGACTGTTTTGGAAATAAAATCAGATACAGTAGAATTTCGGAATATAGTAAAGTCGGGTTTCGGGTTTGGGTTTAAGAAACTTTATTCTCACAGGTTTTATTCTGCAAAAATAAAATAAACAACAAAGTTTTCTATTTTATCTGCTCCCTTGTGAAAGACAACTGTGTCTAATGGATAAATAACTAAAAAACATTATTACTTATATAAGAATGATAAAACATTATTTTCTTTAAATCCCTCACAAGGTATATAAAAAATTTTGATAGTAAAAGTCCCGTGAAAATCGGGCCCCACTATTTTGTAAATTAAATGGAACAATTTTTTTTTTTTGGTACAGTGAAAAGGCTTTAATATTTAATGCTAAGAATGTAATGGTCCATCATTGAATCTCTTCATCACCATATTCTAATCCTCTTCCCAAATTTATTTGGGGTCGTCTAAATGATTTTTTTCCTTCCATTCTCCTCTATTACCCATCAGTTCACTGCTTACTACTACTCTACTCCTAGACACATCTTCTTTCACGCAGTCCATCCATCATTTTTTGGTCGTCCTCAACTCTAACATTCGTCAATTCATTCGTCATTTCATACTTAAAACTTTATTTACTACATTTTGCTCATCTCTACGTATCACATGTCCATACCAGGATAACCTGTTGTTTCTCAACTTTTCATCCATCATTGAATATCTTACTGCAAGCCACAATCGTGAGCCAATTAAGGGTGATCACTTCATCATGGCGGACACGCGCAATTATAATATATATGTGAACAATTCAAATGGTCAATTTTGTAAATAGGAATTTATACGTACAAAATTGTAGCACTTTATTGTAGCTGCAGTATTGGGAAGGATGATTTAATAAGTCTTTGATTAATGCATTTGGACATGTCTAGTCTGGACATTGTTGAGCTTATAAGTAATTTTAAAATAGTAGAGGTATGTGATTCTGAAACTTGCCTCATGAATCTTAATTGATTTAATAGCGTAACGTTCTTGCAGGTATTCATTAATAATAATAATAGGTACGCGGAACGCCTTTTTCTACTTTAGATACTTAATTTTCAAAAGAACCTATTCTATATGCAACAGGCAAAAAAAACAATACTTTCTTTAAATTTAAGTAAAATAGATATACATGGCCAACGTGTAAAGGGTCTAAAACACTGCATACCTAATATTTGATACAAAAATTACTTTTACGATTAATAAAGTGATTACAATCAATAAAATGTTGATACCCTTGAAGACTTGAATGGCTTGAAAAATTCAGTATTATATATTTTATTTTTATGTTGTCATGATGACAACAGCCTAATACCGAATTTTTATATATTAAAATTAAAGCATAATGTAGTCAAGCTACAATGAAAAAAGTATTTTATTGTTTTTATATTTTCTTAAATAATAACAAAATAAATATGTACTTATTATTATTTAAGTATCGCTTACACTATTCGAGTCGCGGAACCCGCTCGATGCTTCGAATGATTCACTGTAAATCACACTTAATGTTTCACAGTTTACAAATTATTAAATACACCAAACCGTAATGGAGTATTCCATTTAAAAAATAAAGCGTTGTCGATCGTAAAAGTCTATACATATCTATAACACGGCGTTTTGTCGAAGCTATCTAAACATATTGCGTCACTGGCACCGATAAAATTAATATGTATTGAAATTGTTGCATTTATTACGAAAAACTGGCCTAGACAATATTTGATCAATGTTAACTAGACTTGCAACGAATAGTATATTCGGCAGTATACCGAATACCGAATATTCGGCGAGGCCCCTGACCGAATAGCCGAATATTAGGCAAAAGTATTCGGCTGGATTTTAGCGCCAAAAAACTTGTACAGACGTGAATTAAATTATGTACCTGTTTTATGTACCAATGACTACTTAATAAATGATTATAAAAGAAATGAGAACCTTACCCTTCTAAATTTTGATTACCACAATAATTCAAATACATAGAATCCTCCATTTTTCCAATTCAGAAGATGATTATGTACCTGTGTTATGCACCAATGACTACTTAAATGATTATAACAGAAATAAAAATATGAATATATACGTAATCAATCGTTTTTAATTTTTCATTTTACCAACTATTTCTCAATGACAAAATATATTATTTAAGTATTCGGTATTCGGCCGAATAATATGTAGATATTCGGTATTCGGCCGAATATAATAAAAGCAGCCGAATAGGCCGAATACCGAATAGTAACCGAATATTCGTTGCAAGTCTAATGTTAACATCCCAAGACTCCCAAGTAATAAAAAATACAGCTAATTACAATAAATTGGTATTTGAAATCAAATATGTTGCTGCTTCCGACAATGCTTTTAATTAATCAAATAATATTGAAGTTACCTTGGTTTAACAAATGAAGTAGAGAGGTGTGATGGCATCGTATATTGAAGAACTTCAATGTAATTGCTGTTCATAAGTATTTTAAATTATATTTCTGATGTTTTCCATACCTCGGTCAGGGCTGGTACAATCTTGTCGAAACCTTAGAGAGTTATATTTGTACATATTAAAAATAATTTAACAATAATTGTTTTCAAAGTTTTATTCTATAATTTTTGTTAATTAGGATATGTGGCCGAAGGGCCAGGCTGAGGGGCTTGTGGATAATTGGTAACCACCACATTGCAAAGTTAAGCAATCCTAGTCAGGTCAGTCTATGGATGGGTGACCATACTTAACAAATTGAGACCCCTCCGAGCCTCGTAGAGCATCTTAAGCCGTCGGTCCCAGTTTCCATACGAACCAGTGGCAATTGTATCGAGTAGTTGGAGCCCTAAAAATTACACCATTCTTTCTACAGATCTTCGATATCGCCTAGTACTTAGGTTGTGGAAGTCTAATGGACTTCACCCCGTAAAAAATCGAAGCCAACCCTAATCTAGTTTGTGATAAAGGATCAGAGGAAGAAGAAAAGTATATGCGGGGAAAATACCTTTTATGTCAGTTGTGAGGTCGAAAGTTGATCGGCATTGAATTAAGACCGAACTTTTATTACGAGAATTGGCATTCTGATAACACAAGTGCGCTGTCGGCCTTCGAGATATGAGTGCACTCTTGAGCTCTGTTCGTTCTTTACCCTATAAAAGTTGTATAGGTTTTTACGTGTGTATGTCGGCGATGTTTAACTAATTCGTACTCGACGCGGGCCCTTTATAAACAAAAAAAAATTGCACTTCTACTTATGTACTTAGACCCTAAGGCTACATTATCAACAACATATTAATCGCCTTTAAACTGAGTGATATTTATCGCAAAATGGCCTGTATTCCTGTAACGTCTAATTATGATTATATTTGTGCGGTCTGGTTCATAATTACGAAATTAGACTGTAATTAGATCATTTTACAAGCTTTACTGCTTGGTAGAGCTGCTACATTTTTGTTTATGTGTATTACTTATTATTTAATATTTACAATGTACTTTGATTTGTTACAATTTGTAATTCATATTTGTTACAATGCACTTTGCTTCTCGCATCCAGCTCCTGCACGAGTTCTTGAGTGGAGACTGCTTCTCAGCAAACGTTAGTGTAGGACGCCCACAGGCCAGTTAGGGTGACGATTTGCGCAAGATGGCTGGCAGGAGCTGGATGAAGCCCAAAATCGATCTAAGTGGCGTGCAACGTGAGAGGCCTATGACCAGTAGTGGACTGCGATAGGCTGATGATGATGCTGATGAATGTACTTTTGCCTGAGGCTTCGCAAGAGTTAATGTAGTAATAGTAATTTAATACACCTCTGACAATGTGTAAGTTTTGCTAATTTTATGATGATCAGTTGAGTAATTAGGCCAGAAAATGTAAGAAACAAACAAACTCACATTCATATGCATTTGGCTTACAAGTTATTGAGCTAAAATTGTAGAATTTTTAGTGTTAGTTAATCTTACATTATTTTAATATAAACAGGTAGGTACCTTTCCAAATTCCGTTCCTTTAAAATATTCTGTGTTTATACAAACACATTATACTGTAATTATATTATTCTTGTCAATAAGAGGCTCCTAGATAATCTAAACAGATCTTATTCTCAATAGAACCCATGCATCATTGTAGTTTACAAATTACCGGATGACAACTTACATTATTTAAATAAAATTTTGATCTTAAAGATTTTTTTATTAAATAAAGAATTTCGTGGAACAAAAGAAGTCTACACAGTCATTAAAATAAACACAATATAAAAATAAAAATTAAAGAACGCTTTAATTTTTACTTAGACTTACGCTAAATAAACATATTTATATGTGTTTAGATGAGTTTAATTTAATAAAACTGTTACTAAAAGCATCATCGCAAAAAAGGCAGTAATTTTCTTTCTTATATGATCAAAATATCAAAAGAATTCCTCCGAAGAGCGTACGGTATAACAATAAACTCACATATCTCTTATACAGTTGGCAACTAATTGAGCCCAAAGCCACACTATTAACCGAGCCGATAATTCCGCAGGCCCACGGT